CGGTCCCACCTATCTGCTGCTTTGCTGATTTCGGATTCTGCACCAGACGATGCTATAAATAAAGTCAGAAATAAATATTCCGTCAGCGCATCCCTTGTTCTTGCAGCCTGTGTGTGTTCAGCTGCAGAGCAGTCCTGGCCTCCCTTCAGCTCTCATTATCCTAATGGCTCTGCCATAAAAGTGGCAAAAAAGACTGCTCCTGTGGCCCCACTTGTCTGTGCCCACATCGCAGGAGCAGCCGATCTGTCTGATTCCATGTCTTGGCAGGAAAAGTTTAGAAGGAAATAACAAAAGGCCTGAGCAGTCTTACCAAGCATGTCGTTGCCCACCATGGGGACATCACAGCATCTCCATCTTCCTCCTCACCCTCCTCCAACCGGTGCTAAGTGTCCCGCTGGGCCAATGTGTTAGCAGCCAAGAAAACCAAACAGCTGCTCTGGGAACCAAGACTAGCAATGGGACTCGGTAGAATTAAGAGAGAATTAATGAAAGGAAGTGACTCCTATTGACTGGTCACTATTTACTGACTGACTGAGTGAGAGCTAAAATGTTCCAAGCAAGTAAACATGGTTGTCTGTTTGGACACCATAAAATCTGCACGTGGGAACGTGAACCTGCAGCACGGGCTCTGGGTAATATAAGTAACTGTAGCCAGCGATGGCCACGAATCAGCACTGGCCTGCTCCTGTATCTCCGAGGTGCTTTAAAACTAAATGGATGTGTGCATCGCATTTCTGTGTGTTCACAGTGTGTTTACCAAACAAAGCGAGCCATTTTCAATGTTTGTTTTTAAAATGGTTCTCACAGAAATGCTTAGTGAGAGCCTGTGGATGATGTGCTACCCGAGGGAGCCTGTACTCACCAGCTCAACAGAAAGATACAAACATCCCCCTCCGTAGGCTCATATCAAACGAGGAAGAGGATGTGCACTGCACGTGTCAGTTATCCTCTCCCGGAGCATCCACATGAGCATCACCCAGCACTGCCCCACACGGGGCCCGGGATCCCCTCCGTGAACCTCGGCCCCAGAGCTCCCGAAGCTCCCACAGAGGCTATTACCTGTGTCAGAGCTGCCTGGGCAGCACACACCCTTCCCGCACTGCTGGGTTTTCCTGCTGCATGGAAGCCAGTCCCACCCTCAGCACATTTGCAATAATGAGGATTTACTGAAGTGTGTGTGTGTCAAGGCCGTCTGCAAAGATTCCTGCTTTCTCAGCTTTATAACTTTCACTGTCACCCACATTTCTTCCTTATCACCGAGCCAGGCCTGTGTCTTTTTTTCTTTTTTGTATAATTCCATTTCTTCCTTTCAAAAAGCAAAAAAAGAATCATATGGGACAAGGAAGACAAATGGTGCCATTTTCTCATGGACACACACTAGATTAGTGTTTGCACAAGTCCTCTGTCTTAAACTCTGAACGTATGGCCTGTGTCCACTGGGAGAAGGGGCACAGATATGTACTGTGGGCAGTGGCTGGGCTCTGGGCCAGAGGCACCTGTCTCTTGCCATGTGGGCCTCTCCATAGGGCAGCTCCCAAAAGGCAGCCAATGAATGGTCTTGTTTAATGCAGCTGCCCCGCCGACCGAGACCAGTCAGGCTGCAAGTAAGAGAAACAATCTTCTATTTTATCTTTCTTTTTGGTCTCCTTGTTATAGTGATTTCACCTTCACCTTAATACAAAACTATTTGACTTTTCATTTTTACCTAAGAAATGTAAGTACATGCATTAAAATTTTTATGTTAAAAAAATCAATGAAATCTAAAGTTGGGGTGCAACAACTCAATGATAACGAATGCTATGTAATAAAGTTATTTGTATTTAGGATAGCCCTGGACCAAAATGGTATTACAATAGATTCTTAAAAACTATAATAAATTGGATACGAAGTCATTTTAGAGTCAAATAAACATATGGCTGTGCCCTTTAAGACAAGCAACATTCTTTCTATAATAATAGGAATAGTTATCACATATCTGGATCTTTTTGTCAACAACCAAAATTTGGCCAAAGGCTGTGTGAGGGTCCCAAAAAGGAAAGAGGCAAACATGAGAAAGCCCCACGTCACTGATCCAGGGACAGCAGCTCAGCTGGGCAAAGGCAAAGTTAATGGACCAGAAGTCCCTGCAAACAGCCTGCCCTCAACAGATCCTAAATGGGCCAGGATGAAGGGAGTGAACGAAAATGTGAAGCCATTGTGAACCAGGTCTTTTTTTTCTGTGCAGAAACACACATGGTGGTCCGGAAAGATCATTTAAAAACCGTCTCCATTCAGTTTCAGCTACAGAGTCCTCAGCCAGCCACCAGAACTGCTTTTGATGGAGTCTAGCCATTTTCTTCACATCATGAGCTCTGCCCCCTGTTATGTCATAGAGTGTAGATGTATGGTCTGGGCAACACCCAGAACTTTCCTCCTGTGGGAATAGAAAAGTCCTTTCCAGGGTCTAATGCAATTGTGACACTTCACTTCCACTCTGTCACACAATTGCTTTGTGAAGTTTCACTTGGCCACTGCTTGATCCATGCATGATTCCCCAAATACCTAGACTGGTTTGTATCAGGCACATTGTAAGTCCTAGAGCAAGTATGTCAAACTCGCGGCCCACAATGAATATTTTTGTGGCCCAGCCAATATAATAGTATGTAAGAAACATTGAATAAAAATTTCATAACTTAATTTTTACAATATCCCGTTACACATAATCCTATATAATAAAAGGCTAATATGCAAATCAACCGAACAGCAGAACAACCGGTTGCCATGACACGCACTGACAACCAGGGGACAGACGCTCAACGCAGGAGCTGTCCCCTGGTGGTCAGTGCACTCCCACAGGGGGAGTGCTGCTCAGCCAGAAGCCGGGATCATGGCTGGTGTGTGCAGCAGTGGTGGCAGGAGCCTCTCCCGCCTCTGCAGCAGCGCTAAGGATGTCCGACTGCCGGCAGTCGGGACATCCTCCAAGGGCTCCCAGACAGCGAGAGGGAGCAGGCTGGGCTGAGGGACCCCCGAGTGCACGAATTTCATGCACCAGGCCTCTAGTTATTAATAATGAACTACAACGTTCACTAATGACTGATTACTATAATCATGTTGCATTAATTTCCCTTACATGCCTTACAAGCAGGAGCACCATTTCTCTCCACTAATACTAGCAGCGAATATTTTAGCAGCCATTTGCCATGTCATTAATCTTGGACTAACTTGTTTGGTGTGTGGAACAGGAAGTATTTCGCTTTCAGAGAACAAGAAAAATAGGTTTATTTGCATTACGCTTATTAATTTGTGCAGTTATTCAATGTCTGGTAAGTTAATGTTCAAGAAAAAATATTTTTATTAAAATGTTCTATTATTTTATGTTAACGATTACTCATTTATTTCAGCCCTTTGTATTCCGCATGTCTCTATCAAAATAAACCTATGTTTTTATGAAAATTGAAGCTTTTGTTTTTAGGCGGCCCACATGAACTTAAACCTTATTTGGCCCATGTTAGCCTTTGAGTTTGACAAGCTTGTCCTAGAGCAAAGGAACGAGTAAGGCTGGCATGATCCAGGCTCTTAGGGAGATTACAGTTTCTGCTGTAACTTTCAGTGCCTTTGATACTGTGTCAAAGGAAAGATTAACAAATAGACCAGCTCTGCTCTGAGGTCTCAGAGAAGGTGAGCTAATGCAGGTGCTTTTACAACTGCAACCTGGAATATGAGTGAAGTAGCCAGGTAGGGAGATGAAGCACGAAGGAAGGGAAGTGCTGTGTTGGGAGAACTAAATACTAGCATCACTGGAATAAAAATAGCAAGGAAATGGGGCACTTGGGAGACTTAGTGACACCTCCATCCAAAGGCAGAAGTGGTGAGGGAGAAAAAGGAGGCAAGAATGATGGACCTGGACGCAAGGCAGGGCCACTTTCTGAGAGGGAGACACCAAGGAGATGTTTGGGTGGGAAAGATGCTGGGCACTGAGCTGGAAGCACCTGGGAGACAGCCAAGTGGAGCGGAACAGAAAGTGGAACAGAAAGTTGGGTTAAGGATGTGTAGGACTCCCTTAGCAGGGATGTATACAAACCTGGGGATCTTGGCGCAGAGTGTATGAGTTTGCCCAGGGAGGTGTACAATGAAAGAGAAAAAGAGAAACCCAACACTGAATTCACAGGCAGAGTGTGTTGGTTAGAAGTCAAGGGAGGAAAGGACTCGAGTGCAGCAGCCCTGGAGGAGTGGGGCCTAGAATCAGCATTTTTAATAAGCTCCCCAGTGGTCCCACCAGTGGGCAGATCACCTTGGAGAAACACTCCAATTTGCATATAGCTTAGATTACCGTAGGTACTCTTAATTAATGCTTGTTGAATAAACTTGTTTTTTAATAACAATATACATTGGCAATCTCTCATCATTGTATATATTCTTTATTCTTTCATTCTTTTAATCACTGTGTAGTACTCCATCAAATGGATAAACCATAATTTAATCTAGCTACTGTTTATGGGACATTCAACTTACTGCTTTTCCTTTTCCCTTTTTTCCTATTATAAACAATGTAACAATGAACATCTGCCTATTCTTCCATAAGTTTATCTTATTATTATTAGTGTAAGAGCTTTATATACAATCGATATTTAGCCCTTTGTCATACATAGTCATATTTTTTCCTTAGCTTTTCGTCTTTGAAGTTTATTGTGTTTTTGTAACTTCATGTTTTTGCCCCGTGTTAGTTTGGGGTGTTTTTTAACATTTATATAGCCAAATGTATTCATTTTTTCCTTTGTAACTTCTTGGGTTTGTAGCACTCTTAAAAAGGACAGCTGCCCCCTAACATCACTGGGTCTTTAAAGGATCAAGCATTGTATGTTCTGTCACTCCTTGGATCAATGGTACCTGTCACTTGGACGGAAAGGTTACTTCTGTCCAGGTGAGTGGCAACAGAGCAGGCTATCTGGTTATTCAGGGTTACCATGTGACAACAGCAGTAGTCAGCATCTGGGTCGTCATTGACTACAATACTTCAACAAGCCATTCACATATTTTTTATTTGATAATAACATAATAAACTACCCAGGGATATTACTGATGTTCCCCATAGATGAACATTTGCCTTTGAAACTAATACCTCGTTATTTCAGAGCTTAAGGGCAATAGAAAATGAGTATGGCAACCCTGAACAAGCATAAATCCATGATCCACTTCCAGAAGAACAAATTTTATGAATACTATTCACACTTTAGGGAAGTAATAACTGACTGTTTACAAGATGCACTGCACTATACTGTAAAAATGTTATAATTACATGGAGTAAGTCATATAAGTACTTAAAAGACTTTATTATATGCTTATGTCTAATTGAAAGCCACGTAAACAGTCATATTAAACACATTCTTTATGCATTATACTTGAAAATATAAAATACAAAACCAATTCCAGTATTTCTCATATTAAACCTTTTCTTTAATTTTTTTAGCTTTCTTTGACATCATAATAAAATGAAAAAGAGAAGTACAAACAGAAAAGTCTTAAGTAATATTTTTAAACCCTTTACTTTACCTACCGTATTTAATATTTCCAAGATAATTCTGCCATACAGGATCAAATGCATCGCGCTCAAAAATGTGTGCTCACCAGCCCTCTGCAAAGAGGGGGCTGCTGGCAGCACAACTCTACAAAGTCCTCTAGGCCTCCTGTCTCTGAGGCCGCTCAGTCACAAGCTGCCTGAAGGTTACAGTGATTCACAGGACTAGATGTTCGAAGAGGAAGTTATGACGGGGGATGTTCCTCCCCTCGGATGCTTCGGTACTTAGCCATATCTTCTGGAAAGACTTTAGAAAGCTCTTGAATCAACAGGCTTTTAAATTTCTAAGAAGAAAAATGTACACTGTCAAAACAGCTTTGTGTGTGACCCATCACCCAAGTTAAAGACTACCCCCACCCCTAGAGCCCTCTGAACAAACAGAATCTGCTTTGCCCTCACACGAACCCATGTTCCAGTGCTGCCTGCTCATTGCCCACGGATGCAATACGTGGTGAACCAGCTGCAAATAACACTTGCAACTATGTTACAGGTACATTAAGAACTACCTGAAAGAGAAATTCACCTTTCAAATACAACTTCTTCCCTCCTGCTTCAAAGTGAAAACAGGCCATCCTATAGGGAGCCAGCCACATAGGTGGAAATGATTTCTGCACACAGCACACGTAACAGGAATCTTCAAATAATACTTAATTAAGCAATTAATGATTTGAACCACATCACACACACTGTGTGCAAACAGCTCAATCAAAGCTTTCAGAGCACCTGGAAACCTGTCTACACCAAATGCCATGGCTTCCTGACCCTTATCGGCTTAATATTCGTTGTACGCCAGTCTTAAAGGCAGCAAAGTACCTATCAGCACCTCAAAATCTTTCTTATAAGCTACAAGAAGAAGAAGCTGTATGGATATAAACAAAGATGTAATACACAGGTAAGAATACTCTCAAAGGAGACTGCACTCCAACAGGATAATAAACACACACTGCGCAAAGGAAGGCCATGGAACGGCACAGTGACATTCACAGGTCTCAGACAGAATGAGGCCAAGCGACAACAGAGGCAAACTGAAGATAAATCACACAGTCCCCGTGCAGTACCACCAACAGGAAACCTCTGCATCACCTACAGAAGCGTGGTGGGACCGAGCAGAACATATTTGGACCACACCCTGTCCATACAGAGGAGATTTCTGCTTAACAATGCAACTCACTCACACAGCAGTCCGAAGAGTCACAACTCACTACTGATTAACGTTGTTCTATGCCCCAAGGGTGACACTGAGTTCAACAGCAACTCAGTCCCAAGCTGACAAAATAGAAATGAAGCCACATTAACAGTTACAGCAAAGCCACCTCCAGGCACGCTGCCTATCATCAGTACAGATACCCTGGGGGGGGACACTGGGAAGCCCTGCGACCTCACACGTGACGCCTGTCACTGTCATCCTGAGTGTCTCTCTGCTTGCTCCTCACACTGTCTGACCCTAAGAGGTCACAACAGAAACGGAAACCATGTGGCTGGGCCAGAATCAGGAATGGGGATGGAGAGGCAGAGGCTCATTGTATGAGGCCAACAGAAACGGGAAACCAGAAAAGGGATGGCACCATCCAATTAAAGGAAAAAACAAACCACACAGGCTCCAACATGGGACCATATTTGAGTGAATTTAAGTAAGAAAAAACAACATATTTCCTGCTGTAGATGCCTCATCACAGCAAAGAAACAGAGCAGGTTCTCTGTGGAGAACTGTGTGACGGGGGATATGGTTTAAGAGTCTGGAGTCTGAAGCTGGAGACCAGCACCCGCGAAGAAAAACAGAATGAGGATTCAAGACTCCTCCAAACCCAAGAACCACAATTACCGGAAAAGGCCCAACAGAAGGCATCACTGATATTTAACTTTGTTTACTACCTGGTATACAATTCAGAAATCTCAATTGTGTAATGTAATAAAATAGGTGATGTTTTACCAAGTATGGAAAAGAACGACAGTCTATTAGCCAAATTTCTTTTTAAGGCTTTATGTCCTGACGTTTTCTGTTTATAGGAGCCTTACCTTCATTGTATCAATCTTCCCTTTAACTTGTTCATTTTTCGCCAGAGCTCTTTCCAGGCACTCTTTGGTATAGAGTTGTGGGTTTCGACCTTGATCTATATATCTGGAAACAGGAAACATGTAATTAACACTCTCTTGGCTGATATCTATTCTGTTTTCTTATGGGGAAAAAAAAATTAGTTGTATATAACTTCACACGGCCTGTTCAGAAGAAACGGTGTCCAGGAACCAGGTACGTTAGGATTCCTTCATTTATACAAGGATAGATGATGTGCTCTCATATCACTTGTAATAACATGAACAACTCATAAAATCAAGTAATGATCACTTAATAACCTGGCAAGCTCCACAGCCACACCACTTCACATGTGCAGCATCCATGCCTCCCAAAGGCTTCACGGCCATTACCATGTGATCCTCACAACCTGCGAGGTTAGGAAGCTCTTGATAAGAGAGAACTAAAAGTGGGCCAGGGCTTCAGGCCCAGCAACATGGGGGAGCCAGGGAGAGCCCTCTAAGATGCAGCCTACACTCCAGATCCCTGTCCCCTTGGGGATCCTCTGTGGAGGGAGCTTGGGCTGCTGGAAGAAGAAGGGGGGAGAGCTGCAAGTGGATAGCCGGGCCCTGCTCACCCCAAGATTACTTTAAAAACTGTTCCACTCTTTCAGTTCCATTAAATAACCTCAGTAACTTGAATCTAACAGAGAGAGGGATTCTCTCCAATAATTTAACAGTATAAAACTGTTTCTTGAAATTTTCAACACTTGTCTCCAAAATGTATTCATTATTCCAAAGATTTCACTAAGCATACTGCATAGACAAATATGCACATTTTACCAGCTGTAGGCCACCTGCCTACTTCTGTACCTTGAAGACCTTCATATCACTCAATTAAATCGAATTATTCATTACAAAGAAACAAAAATTACCACCACCACATTGCCAAGTCCGATTTATGTATTTTAATGCTTCAGTTAAAACAAAAAATCACTTCAGATCAAAGGCAGTTAAGTTTCTGTTAATGGCATAAAAACTGGACTCTAATCATGGCAGACAGCAAAAATTACCAAATCACAAGTTCTAGAAATTCCATTGTATTGCAATGTTTTTTGAAATGATGGAATGAAGGAAGCAGAATTATGGTTAATTCTAAACAAAATCCATCCATTTCCAGAGGAAAAAAACCTTACAGATTCAAGTGTCCTAAATAGACAACCATTCAACAGCAATATTATTCAGATTGGGCCCCACTTCTGCCAACACACCACCCTGTGAGGTCAGGAAGTGCTGGACAGAAGGGCCCAGACTTACATCTTTATCTTTGTTACAGACACAATGTGTCTGCCAAGTATGTGAAGGCCTCCGTGAACCTGGAAACTCCTTCTACTTCATGCAAAAATGACTAACAGTTTGCAACACTGCTTATTAGAGCTCAGAGGCCACCCATTCCCAATACCCCAAGTGAGTCTCCCCTGACCCTTCCGCCCACCTGCTGGGGCTGGGACTGTGGCTGAGCTGGCTGAGGCCCCACTCCCTCTGACCTTTAGCAACCTCTCCCCATCATCTTACTCTCATTTGTCCCTCTTCAATGACTCAAGTAGTTACTGGCATCTGTCAATACACACATCCTGCACATTCATGACCAGAAGAGCACTAATGAGGAAGGCAAAGTAGCCTCCACCTTCCCAAACTTCACAAGTCAGCATCATCACCAAGAGTCCAGAGCTTAACACATGTACATGACCTTCACCCACCTGAAGCCAGAGAACTCAGTGGGGCTGAGAAAACATGACACCATGGCCAAAAGGCAAGGATGGAGCCAAGCCGGTGAAAACTGCAGCCTGAGTGTCCTATCTTTGTGGACAGCTGCTGTCTCTCTAACTTCTGGGGATGTAAAATAACAGCAGCTCTTCCTTTATTGTTCAAGGAAACTGGTGGTTTACATTTGCAGTTATACCAAAAAGGGCTAGCATGCTTTTGTAGATCAGAGCCAGTTTCAGGAGGAAGAGGCTGTCTGTCAGGAAAACAGCACTGGCTGAGGAAGGACAAGTCCAGGATTTTACTCTTAACTCTGACACTGACTAGTAAATAGGCCACTGTAGTTACTTATCAGTTCCTTCACCTGTGAAATCAGGGGTGTGATAACCAAACCAGTGTGAAGAAGCTTGGATTAAAAAAAGTAATAAGTTTATTTCCTGGATGCATTCTCTGGGCCATGACTGTGGTAGGCACATATAAACTCCTGTAGAAAACCGTGAACAGCCTTCCCAAACTTACTTGGCCTAAGAAACTTTTTTTCAACAGAGTGTATATATATATCCACCTCCCAGAAGTAGCAGTCCCAGGGCAGTATCAGAGATACTAGACCAGATTATTTTCAGGTTGTTTCTGGTTATAATTTTTTAAAAATACAACCCACTTAAGACTTTCTACCTCTTTTCTCTCTCTTTTTTTTAAGTTAAAAAATTATATGGCTGTCCTTCTAGCTAAGCAAAACTTTGAGGGTCTATGATGTTTTTCCTATTTCATATGCCTCTATTCACAAGTAACTCTTTTTCAACAATATTGAGATTTTTAAATTGCTAATCCCATAACAACAGGAAACTCCATGTAGGCAGGTGTATTTGCCTATTTTCTTCACTGGCATATCTCCAAGCACCTAGGCTGTGCCTACAACATAGCGGCAGGCACTAAAACACCGGTGACTGAAGCAGTCATTACACTACAATTAAACAAGAATTATACTTGAATGAATATCAGAAATGGTACTTACTCAAAAACTTCTAAAGGTACAGTAATATCATGAAGCTGCTGTCTGCACTTATCAATATCCTGTAAGCCGGTCACGATAAAATTCCTGGGGGAAAAGGCAAAAATGGGGGCATTTGGTTAACTCTCCATGACACCATGAGCACCACCCACAAAAGTGCTCCTTCCACATGCAGGGGTTACACGCAGCTCATAACTTTTTGGTTACCTACAGAATTCCAAGGAAGGATTTGGAATTACAGACTATCCTCAGATCTTTGTTGATTTGCTTCCTAAACTAGCAATTGCCAATACTGGGGGGCAGGAACCAATCCCCTTGAGAATCTAATGAAAAATATGAACCTTCTCTCAAAAACAGTTACCGTGATGTGCATGCGATTTTGTGCGTGGGTTTCAGCGAACACATGGGGTAGTGGACTCCAGCTTAAGAACCCATCCTCCAGGTCTGGGGGGAGGAATGCCATCACTACCTGGTTGAATTTTAGTTCCCCTGGTGGGGAGCCCTCCTACGTCACCGTCACGGGGCTAGTCCCACAGCACTGGGTATGTAACACAGGGTTGCAATCATGTCTGTAGGCCTATCCTCCCTATAACGCTGTGAGCTCTTCTCCAGAGCATTCTCTTCGCGTGTTTGCCTCGGTCCATTCCAGGGCCTAGCGCTATGGCCAGCACAACACTGATGCCAAAAAATATTAGTTAATAAACGGTCTGCGGCCTTTGTCACCGCCCACCCCCCTTCAATTCCTCCACATGCAGGCCTCTGCAGCAGGTGGTGTCAGAGCACTCCCAGCGAAGCCCGCCTCCCCTCTGGAGAGAGGCAGGCTCCGAATTCCCCAGAGTCCAGGAGGAAACCCTGGGAGTCACCAGTGCGCAGGGAGAGGCTGAGATAATGAAGCGTGACTCCCTCGCCTGTGGCCCCAGGACAGACACTGTATTGTCCGGCACGATAACGTCTCCGCATGGGCCCTCCAGGTCCCAGCAAGGCAAAGCGGGGAGGCGGCGGGCGGGCGGGCCACCGGCGGCCGCTGCGGCCCGCCCTAGCGCACAGCCTGGAGCGGGGGGCGTCCGGGAGGGACCAGGCCCAGAGGAAACAGGGAGAGAGGACGAGGCTCTCCGCCCGGCCCTCGCTCTCCGACCCTCCCTCCCGGCTCTCGGATCCCGGTTCCCCAACCCCGACCCCCATTCCCGCTCCCCGGGCGGACGCCGCCCGGCCGGCCCCGGGAAACGCCGGCGGACTCGGGCCGCCACTTACAGTTTCTGGTTGAGCCCGGCCTGGCTGCTGGGCTGGAAGTCGCTGACGATGATGCCGAGCTGCCGGATGTTCTCCACGAACTTCTCCAGATGCTCCTCCAGGTGGTCGAACTTCTCCGCCATGGCCCCACGGTCCGCTGCCACACCACTGGCGTCGTCCTGCTCCGCCGCTTCCTGCTTCCGCCCGAGCCCACCGCCACTTCCGTTTCCTCAAGGGGCGGGAGGAGGGGGCTGGATCTGGATCCCGGAGCGCCTTGAGGGCGGGGAGGGGCGGGCTTTATCTAGGCCCCGCCCCAGAAGCCCTAAGCGGCAGCGGTGAGCGGACAACCAGGTGTCAGTCATCAGGACTCCCCAGCGTGCTGCAAGGGCCACAAAGGGCCGGTGGTGAGGACACGCAAGACCCAGCTCCACTTCCACTGGCCCTGAACAAGTTCCTTTGTCCCTGAGCCTCTGTTCACGTCAGGAAATCAGGAAAATGAGACCTGACAGTTACCTGAGGTTATTTTGAAAGTTTGGAAGATATGGAAAAGTTTCTAGGAAACTACCAAAAATTAACTTAAGAAATACTAGGAAGTCAGAATAGACCCTAACCTTTCAATAAACTGGTCAGTGGGCAAATTCTCTTTTAAAGAAATGAAAGGCATCAAGCCCTGACAGCTTCTTGCATTAGATTGTCTAAACAAACAAACACATCCCAGCTCATTTTTAAAGGGTTGTATAACTTTGATATGAAAATCAGATAACAAGATGGGGAGAAGGACGTAAAGAAAATATAGCCCAATCTTCCTTCTGAGAGTGGGTGGAAAAAATCCTAAATAAAACATAAGCAAATTGTATCAACTATCATGTGTCAGGTACCTATTGTTACATAGCAAACCTCCCTACAACTTAGTGGCTTAAAACAACCACCATCCTCCTATTTGCTCCCAAATCTGCAATGTGGGGTGTGCATGGCATTCACAGCTCCTTGTCACTTTGGTGGAGGTGGCCTCACTGGGGCTAGAGGATCTGCTTGCAAGGTGGCTGGCTCACTTGGCTGCCATGTTGATAGTGGATGCCAGCTGGGAGCTCAGCTGACCTGTAGACAAAAGACCAGGGTCCCCCTCCATGTTAATCTCTCTGCAGGCTTTTGGGGGTTTCTCACCTCATCGTGGCTGGATTCCAGGAGCACATAGCTCAAGAAAAGCAGGCGAAGCTGTACTGCCTTTTATGGCCTAGCCTTAGAAGTCCCATCATGTCACTTCTACCAGAGCCTTGGCACATTTAGATTTCCGGAGAGGGAACCTAAACCCAACCTGTCCCTTCTTCCATGGAAGAAGCAAATCACATTGTTGGAAGAACAGGTAACATGGAAAATCTTATTGAAGCCATTTTCAGATAATACAACCTGTCACACTTCATATTGCAAAGAATAACAATGATCTACCGGCCTTTTCCTAGGACTGCACAAATGGTTAAACATCCTCAAATCTTTTCTATAACTAAGTCCATGAAAGAGTTTGGAAGAAAAATACCCCCAGTAGATTTAAAATGTAGACATTTGATAAAATGCAACCTAAATTCATGATTAATTAAAAAAAAGAAACCTCTGAGAAAATTAAGAATAGAAAGAAACATCCTGAATCTAATAAAGGATAAATAGTAAACTCTTGCAGAAGGCAGCAGACTTAATGATGAAAATGTCACCCCAACTATTCAGTATTACTTTACACTGGAGTTCCAGTCAGCTTAGAGACAGTCATGGAAGTAAGTAGCACATGGCTATTCCTTATGTCCTTGCTATTGTCTGCCCTTATTTTGACATTGAATCTCCTGAATTGTCATTAAAATTTCTTTTTCATACCTAAGCTTCCCCATTATATTTTAGACATTTTGAGGACAGGAATCTAAACTTACATATTCCTCAGAGTCCCAAGTATATGCCAACTAGCTCAATAAATGATTTTTTATTATTTAAAGGCTACAGGAAAAGGAGACAAAGGAATAAGCAAAAAGAAACCAAATGCCTACTTTTCCACTATGAATGTAACTCCTCGGGAAGTTATTCTTGTATGTGGGGATAGAACCTGGCAGCAACTTGCTTTCCAAATAATTAAGAGAAATGGGTTCTTCTGCAGTTTTTTTTAATTGTTTTATTGCTTAAAGTATTACAAAGAGTATTACATATGTCTCCTTTTTTTCCCCCACCCTTGACAATCCCCTGGCCTCCCCTACCCTCCAGTGTCTTATGTCCATTGGTTATGCTTATATGCATGCATACAAGTCCTTCGGTTGATCTCTTACCACCGCCCCCTCCTGCCCCCCAACCCTCCCCAGCCTTCCCGCTGTAGTTTGACAGTCTGTTTGAGGCTGCTCTGCCTCTGTATCTATTTTTGTTCATAAGTTTATAATGGTCTTTATTATCCATAAATGAGTAGGATCATGTGGTATTTTTCCTTCATTGACTGGCTTATTCCACTTAGCATAATGCTCTCCAGTTCCATCCATGCCGTTGCAAATGGTAAGAATTCCTTCTTTTTTACAGCAGCATAGTATTCCATCGTGTAGATGTACCACAGTTTTCTAGTCCATTCATCTACTGATGGGCACTTAGGCTGTTTCCAGATCTTAGCTATGGTGAATTGTGCTGCTATGAACATATAGGTGCATATATCCTTTCTGATTGGTGTTTCTGTTTTCTTGGGATATATTCCTAGAAGTGGGATCACAGGATCCAATGGGAGTTCCATTTTTAGTTTTTTGAGGAAACTCCATACTGTCTTCCATAGTGGCTGCACCAGTCTGCATTCCCACCAGCAGTGCACGAGGGTTCCTTTTCTTCTGCAGTTTTGACTGATGGCTCATCTGCTGTGCCCCTCTCCTATGTTTTTTGTTTGTTGTTTCAGCATTTACTGAGTTGTTTCTCTCTACTCCTGTACTTGCCTGTATCGCCTGCAAGGGCCAGTTTCTGACAGAAGTGGAGATGTCTGCACTGCTACTTTTCCCTGCCTAATAACAGTCATCCTGGTCTGTTATGCTACCCTTGTATTAATTCTGTGGGGCTGCTGCAAGAAATGTCACAGACCAGGTGGGCTTAACCAACAGAAATGTATTCTCTCACAGGTCTGGAGGCCAGAACTCTGAGTTCAAGGTGTTGGCAGGGTTGGGTCCTTCTGAGACTATGGCAGAATCTGTTCCAGGCCTCTCCCTTGGCTTCTGGGGGTTTGATGGCAATCTTCGGGATTCCTTGGCTTGTGAAAGCATCACCCTTATCTCTGCCTGCATGCCCTCATGGCCTTCTTCCCACATGTTTGTCTCAGAATTTTCCTCTTTCCCCCAGTCATTTTGGATTAGAGCCTGCCCTGGTGATCTGATTTTAACTCGATCATATCTACAAAGATGCTATTTCCAAAAAAGGTCACATTCTGAGGTACTGGGAGTTAGGATTCCAACATCTTTTTTCCAGGACACAATTCAACCTTCCTCTTTTGTTCAGAAACACTAGCCCCAGCTCTTACATTGTGACTGCGATATTTGATATTCGTGTCAAGTTATAATGAGTGCAATTATGGTATCAGCACCTACATTTCAGCTCCAGTTTTCGTTTCTATAAACTTTCTCCTTCCCCTTGCCTCTTATTTGCATTGGCTAGAGAGAGAACAGAAATTGAGGTTTTAAAGTCTGACTTTTGAAACTATCCCAAATGGAGCCATTGAGATCCACTGAATACACAGGACTTTAAAAGCATTTCTAAAGCACTTATCTCACAGTTGTCCAAAATTATTGCTCCACTGACTATTCTCTACTGAAACAAAAGGCATTCAAAACCCACTGAAATCTACATTTGAAATTCATCCTTTGCCTCCTCAAACATCTAAGTAGTGACTGCTTTCCCTTAACATCCTAAATACTGTTGCTTTGTTTGCAAGAACCATTTAAAATTTTAACACCCCAGGCTCCAAATGTAAATGAAATTAGGCTGAAAAATTCCAGCAAGTCAGGTGTACCTGGTAGGATGCTGCATGAGAAAGCCCTCTGAGCTCTGCTGACTGTAGACCTGGCTGCCTTGTTTCCCTCTGTCAACATGATCTGCCCCTGGGAAATTTCCTTACGGCTAAATCTTTGTGACCTTGGAATCTGGAAGCTGGTTTTGTGTGTGTGTGTGTGTGTGTGTGTGTGTGTGTGTGTGTGTGTTTTGTTTTTTTTTTCATTCACATTATTGTTGCTCCATCAGCACTCATGGCCCTTTGTGATGCCATTTGGAGCATCTTTTTGCCATTCATTCTAATTTATTCTGAGAACTAGATTCAGCTTAATTTTTTTTTAATGCAGCTATCCTGCCAAGAGGGCAAAACAGCTGGTTTCTGCTTTTCACTTTGTGGATTTTCAGCACATTAGCCATTCTAGCAGAGGGAAGATGTGTAACTCTGTTGTTTTAATGATAGTGATGATGATGATGATGATGATGATGATCATACTGGTGACAATAGCAATTTATATAGATTATCTTATTTATTCTTCATAACCCTAAGAAAAAGCTACTATAATTTGCACCATGAATGGTCAGCTATGGGCCAAAAAATTTCCCTAAATAGACAATTGGGAGGCAGAATAATTCTAGCTGGTAGAGGATGCTGATATTGTTTTTTCCCCAAGAGCCACACTGACACATGAATGTTCAAATAAATTAGATTTACCACTCATTCTAATAGGTTCACATATCAATGAGAGGGCATGACCTATGCAACAAAAAATATAAATTGTGTCTTGTTTTTACATTAAGTACTAAGAAACAGTAAGATTTTCCTTCATTTTCTTTTACATGCAACATTTGTGGTTCTACCTTAGAATTCTGGGTAATAAAAGTGTAACAATATTTTAAAAACTACAAAATGAGATTACACTTATAAAGCCTACAGATTTGCAAGTGAACCAATCAGGTAATAGAAGTGTGCAGTTGACTTTCACTATCAAATTTCTATGAAAAGTTTGTCATAAATTCAAGAGAGGACATGGAAAATCACAGAAATGGAATAAGAAAAGATACCTGACTCTTTCGACAATTATACATCCAGACACACAAACACAGACATATAAACTTTTTAGACTTCATATCCATTTTCACCCTACTAGTTCCTTCAGTACACTGCTTAAGTCCTGATACCACATAGTTTTCTGTAAAAATTAATGACCTTCAGCTGAAGTCTAAGTTTGTCTTAAACA